TGACAGAAGGACTAAGCGGGTAACAGAATCGAAATGGTTACACATACTCGCATGTTTCACTCGAGAATGTATTTTTCTCTTTGTACAAATGATATTCATAATTTTAAGCATACAATAGCGATAAAGAATGATAATTGCCGCAGCGAAATGCTATGTGACTTTGTGACTGTCGACAGTCGGGGAAAAGTCATTAATCGGATCCGCATCGAAATCCCATTAAATATATATAATCCCATACGGATGGCGGATGTGTGCACGAAGCTTTCAATTTTTCATCAAGTCTCTGACATTTCATATTCCGCGGAAACCCTCGCTCGCCCATGCATCGAAATTGAGTTTGACAGTGAAAAAACAGTGTATCTGCTCGTGTTTTAATGCAATAATAGAGTCCGGAGCCAAATAGAACCAACAAGTACATATAATTAATGGCTTGTGCTAATTAAGCGATGCGCAGCTCTCAGTGACCGCAGTGGGGCAAATTGGGAGGAGTTTACGCCACCGAACAAAAGCAGCCACAAAAGCAGTGGAAAGGCCATGATTGCATATTGCGACTAAAAGATACCCGCTGAAAAATATTCGTAATTCCTTTTTTCCGTACAAAATCTGCACTCGCATCCGTATATTATTAGTGATTCCAATCTGAATGAATAAAGTTTAAAATTATACCGTTAGCCGAGATTGGGCCAATTTTCTGGGATTTTTTTTAAGAAGATTCAATATTTCAGACTTTGAGGAAAAACTTGAATCAAGAATCATCTTTCATAAAGCAGATAATAGTAAAGGAAATCAGGACTATAAAAATATGAAAAAAACCCGAACTTTTGCCTATTCAAGCAGGTTTTCTAAAAGTATATCGAAATCTTGATCTATTGGCTCACAGTGAGAGGAAAGAAGATGGCAGCCCTTCTAATCCTGCACAAAAACTATGGGTGTAAAGTTTATTAAATCTGATTCATTTCATATCTCAATGTGGATTGACGAAGATTTCCAGGTATCTGAGAAAGTTAGCCAGTTCTTCGATGCAATACTCGTAGGCCCTCCGCGCGCAAAGAGTCAGCGGCGACTGGGGGCCACGCACTTTTGCAAATTAGTTGGCCAAGAAAACTTTGCTAGCCAACTGAGCCCCAGAAAGGCCTTCTGTTTGGGCTTGTATCTGTCTGTGTGCCTGCCACATCTCTGCGACAGCCAGTGTATGGGTGGGTAAGCACCGAAAAGAAAAAATTTGTATCTAACTTGTGGTTTTAGATCTTCCGACAACCTCTCGCCGCGCCGCTCCGGAATGGGTGCTGGCTCATGCATGCATAGCTAATCCTAATCCCGGCATGTCCTTGTCCTGCGGCAATAGTGAAACGCTTTACATGCTCTTGCAGCTCCATGTAGGCCACTCGACTTGGTAGCTTATGAAGCGTTAACAAAACCATCGCCACGGCCCGTCCCCTCCGACTGCTCTGGCATATAGACCACGCCCCAACGCGCCCCCAGTGACATTTGGCTGGACTATCAGGCAGTGCCAAAGGACGCCAAGCAGTCAGGCCCCTCGTCAGAGCTGATTATTAATGCAAAACAATTAGCGCAACGCCCAGTCCGGCGCATTTAACACGCTGAAGCATTGCACGGCCAGTGGAAGGGGGCGGGTGACACGGGACACTAGGGGCGACGGCGGCGCCTTAAAGTATGCATCAAAATATTGAAACTTTTAATTGTACGACTGGCAGACCCTGCCAGTATCCGTATCCGTATCCGTATCGGTGTGAGCGTAAGTATGCGCGTGTATGCGTGCGCTGCTCTGTCGCTTGGGGAGCTGAGTTCCTTGCAATGGCAGAAACCAGCCACCTTGAGCAATAAACATACATATGTACTTTCCTGTTCGCGGCGCAAATATTTGGTCTCCTCTTTCTCTGTCCCCAGCGCGCCGCGCCTGTGGCATGTTGTGTGGCATGGGTTTGTGTCCATACATGCAGGGAGTGTGTCGAGCCCTCATGACCAGCAGAAGGGGCAGGTGGGAAGACATTCGAGGCCTCTCCTGGTATTCATCTCCGGGCAATTCTGCTTGAGCGAAGCAACTGAAAACAGCACGACACAACGAAAAAATTAAGAAACACTTGCAGAAATATGCACAACTCTTTACTTTATCTGCAAAAAGTTTCAGAATCGTACGCCCATTATCTAATGAAATGTTCAGACCGAGAAACCCAGCCACAGAATATTTTCAGCCACCTCCCCGTTTATGCACTCGAATAATATTGATTGCCAGCAGAGAACTGGCTCCAGCATTTAATTGGATACTCGACTCGACTCGACTCGCACCGAAAATGTGCTGAGCACTTCCCCCCCACACCCCTCTCGCTTCTAATCAAACATTTGCATGACTTTTCCGCTGAGCCGTTCCGACCGCCACAGAGGCACATAGGAAAAGACGACAAGTAAACCGCTCGAACGCTCTTGTTCCACGTTGGATGATTCCCTTTGTTGCACGATTTTCCGCCTGGCACACAAACACAACCCCCACAACACCACCCCCTCCCACAAGCGCATGGAAGCGTTGCAGCTGTAAACTTTTTGTGGCAATTTTGAAAACTACCCCAAACCTAATTGCGTTTTTGTTCCGCTCCCGCTACCGCACTTTAGTTGGTATCGTTACCGAAGTTTTAGTTCCAATTACGATAGAAACTAGCGGCTCATTTTGGCTCCGCTACATTAGTGTTGATTAAAAGTTTACAATACCTCAAGCCCACAAGCTCCATAACCCAAGCTCAAACAGTGCATAGGAGGAAATTTCTGAGAGCCAAATAGAAAAGCGACGATAAAAGTATTGTAGATTTGCATTAAATATTGCCAAGATGGCAGCTTCTGACAGGAGTATCTACGAGTGGACGGGTAGAAGGAAAGTAGAACCAAACAGCACTGGAGTTCAAGGGTCCGCCTGGGCTCTTGTTAACTTCTGACGGGAATTGAGCTGGGATAAACCTATGAACTGAAAATATAAAAGTCCAACTTACTGACTTGATTTACGGTCGTCCTCACCTGCTTCAGGCTGTCAAGAACTGATGGGCGATTTGCTGGGTTCAAGAGCAGGAGAAGAATAGTCTGGCAGATAGTGAAATAATTGTGGATGCTTTGGCAGTAAATATAAGTAAAAAGAAACTGACATTTTGAATCAGGGACTTAATTGGATTTTCCTTGAACCACTCTTATTCAATGGGAAAATACTACACACTGTTATAGCATTACGAGGATTACAGGGATTCAAAACGATTCGGATGAATGTAACCCCCGGATGAATGGGTAACAGCACTAGGGAAATCTATGTGATTGCAGAACAACGAGGATCCTCTTTTCCATTGTCCTGGTGCTTTGTGATTGATTCAAATTGAGGAGATTGGAGAGCGGGTTGCCAGCTACGGCTGCAGGTGCAAGGCGGTACAGCGGGGCTGTAGAAAGTCGGACGGAGTGCGCTCGCTCTGCTCTGACCTCGGCACTGAAATCGCCTTGAGACGACTCGTTTAATTCAATTAATTGAAATCCCAAACGGCGCCGGTTGCCTGGGGCGTAGCGAAGTGCGGTGCGGCAAGTGGTCGGTGAGGAGGTTTGGTTTGGTCGGATGTGGCAAAGAAAAAGTTCCCATGAGCGGGCACAGGGAGGGACCCTCCCTCTCTTTGGCTGGCAAATTGAAATGGCAGCCAACAGCTGCAGAATCCAGCAGGCTCCCCGGCCAAAACACCCAGCCAAAACACATCCTTGTTGGGGGCGTCTTTGTGTGCTTTGTGTGGCACTCTTTGTATGAAACAAAGCGAAGCCCAGCAAGGAGTGGAGAACCTGGAAAACAATGCGGAGGGTCACACAGTACCTGGGAACACTCTCAACGTACATGTCCTTGAGCCTACTATCTATTCACCTGATTATACCCTTTCAACAGTTTCATAATCAGTCCTAGGACGAAGCGGACGAAGCACTGTGGTGCCACCACTTGGCGTTCCTTTTTTTTGCCGCAAACGCAGACAGATACAGATACAGATCCAGAAAGAGAGCGTCCTAAACCGCATTGGATTATATGTACGTGTTGGCCCCGTTATTCATAAGACAAACAATTTTGACTTTGTAGAATTTAAATGGCCTTTTCGGCGCCAGGAGCATTAGTAGCGCGGGACTGTGGACAGGTGACGGAAATGTTCTTGATTGGGAGAGCATGTATTCCGGCAGAGGAGGTATTTCGGTGGTGTGTCTCTCGTTGCTATCTCTTGGAGCATTATCAGCAGAATAAACAATAAAATTTTGAGTAAACAATGCGAACAGCTCGCAAAAGTATTTCCCACGAAAAGGCCGAGAAGAGTGCCGAGAAAAGCGCCAAAGGTGGTCGGGGGTCGTGAGGATAGCGGTCCTTCAGGTGCCCCTGGTACTCGAATGAAGAGCTACAAGTGTAAGCTCTCTCAACGGGAGAATTAGTACGATGTCTGGGGAGAATGTCATGTGTAGGCACTTAAAAAATAATTGCATTGCACCTCAATACTCATTTTGGAAGGCAAATGGCAGACAATCCACAGAGCGTGTTCTCCAGCCCCCAAGTCGGGGCCGGCCCATCCGTCAGCGAGATGGATGCTCTGGCTCTGGATGTTAAAGCATGCGATGCGGCCAATCAATTTGCGTTTAGGTTAATGCCCCTCCAGCCCAGACAACAAGCACAGCACCGGTTGTGGGACCGGTGTAGGACCTCCTAATCATACGCATAACGAAAATAATCACGACAATAAAGTGTAGCCAGAGCCAGGCCAGCTTGGCTAATTGGCATTCATTCATAAGGCTCGGCACAGACTTCCCTCCTCCGAAAAGCACTGCCCGCTCTCTTGTCGCTCCCGCGCGACTGCGCGTCTTCGCGCTCTCTTCTGGCAGTCTGGCAACGCTGAGCGCGTAAAAGCGTAAACAAAGGGTGCATCCACTCCACTTGCGAGCAGTCCTCTGTTGTGTGTTCTGTTCTGTTGTTCTCCGGCAATGGCGGCCACCGGTTGTTCTCCGCACACGGTCTCTGTGGCACGGCCGCAGACACAGACGGGCTGTTCGTGAGTGTGATTTGCCGACGGCGATGCTAACTCTAACACTAACTGTAATACCAACGGCAGCAGTAGCGGTAATGACAGCGGTAATGGCGCCTATCCCTGCCCCCATAGTAAATGTGTTCGAGTGCTTATCTGGGAAATCGCGTGACTTTTCGCCGGCGTACTTTAGCACACATACTACATCCATCAGGAGCGGAGTTCCAGCTAACAAGAAGGACAATTTCCATGTGCTTTCGCCAATGCAGGTACCCAAGCGAGTACGGTACATCGGTATACATATACAGTTCCCCCTTTGGGTGTGAGGGTCGTGTCCTAGATGTCTTGGCGTGTTGTGAGCCGACATTTTGGACCATTAACAACAGGGCGAATGTTGCGAGTGCAATTTGAATAGCCGAACGTTGTACATACATCACATGCATGCATATCATGTCTACGAGACGTGCGAGGGACCCACTTTCTTGGCAGTGAGCAATCTCAATCGATAAATTCAAAGGAGCCAAGTGGTACCTACCCTACCCTACCCTACCCTACCCTACCATTCCACCCGTCTTTGGAATTCCATGAGCACTTCCCCCCAGTCCGAACCTTAGCAAACATTCCCAAAGTGCGCTGCTGACTTAAGCAAATTTGATGTGTCCGATTGGGTAGTAGAGTGTGCTTTCTTGGGTGTGCTCTTACTCGACTCGAACGCGTACTGTTATTTTTGCTGCCTGAAGGACTCGGGATGTCAATGAACCCCGTTTCGTACGGGTCCGCAGCATTGAATTTACTTGTCAGTCCTGGGGGTGGCGGCGACTCATGACACCAAAATGGTTGTCTTTTCTGTGTGTATCCCATCTATGATTGACATTTTAATATAGATTATGCTCGAGATCGAGACATTGAAGGCTCTCCCAAAGGGCTGCTCTGAGCGACCGGCCATAAACGTGCACAGCGTGTACCGGCTCCGCCGAGTCGCTTCGAATTATAGATTTTTCATCTGGCTATAACGATGATGTCACTTCGCCGGGCTCTGATTCGCAGGTTGATTGGAACAGAGTCTATCAATTCCGGTCCAAGCGCTAAAAAGCGCCACTAGGAATAGTGCTTTCCCCATCCCATTGTCCGAGCATCCGCACAGCCCGTTTTCCAATCCCGAAACTTGACAGAATTCAGCACCAGTCAGTAGTACTGGTTCAAGGCTCTAATCAGGAAGTGCCTTATGCTTGGGGTATAAATATTAAAGCGCAAGTAAATTTGTGTTTATAAATCGCCATAATATTTTCAAATCATAAAACGGACAAAACGAAAGGCCACAATACGCCGGCAGTCATACCATACCATACCATACCATTCCCGTAACCTGAGTAATACTCGTACTTTTCGCCCTGAGGTCCGCTCTGATCGTAAACACAAAATATCATAAAATGCAGCCGTTTATGGAGCTTACGGCGGAATGCCCATCTGCTGCGCTCCTTCTCCTGTCCCTGGCTTGCTCTGTGCTGCGATTTGTGTTAATGTGCTGTGGACGTGAAGGGGCAGACCTCATCCTCATAAGAATTATGATTAAGTGATGTGAATAGTGAAGGCGTCGCCATATAGCTGTATCCGTACACACGCGTCCGGAGAGACGTGGGGATGGGCTTGCCGTGGGAAACATGTGTCTGGCGGCATTCACTCACACTTGCGCCGTGGTTTTGTCAACACTTGTAATCCTTCGAGAAGCTCCCGGAGGGGGGACCCATTGTGGCAGGCACAACGTTTGAGGCACGCCAGGGATTAGTGCGCATTTTGAGCTTCGTTTTCTGCGAATCGGGCTAGAAATTAAAACATAAGTCTGCAACCAACGCCAGCCCCACTGATTGCCTCTCCGGATTTTCATTGTGAGGGTCTTATCCCATTAGCGGGGAGAGAACAATGACAGGATAAACGCCGAAGCAAAGGGAAAACGCCCGTAAAAAATGCAAATTTTCGGAGCTGAATTCCCGGTGTTTGCTTTGCCCTTTTATGCATGCTGCTAATGATGGGCTCGGGTCAGATTCGGCGCCACTCGTCTACGCTCCGTGCCTTGAGGCCGTGGCCCCGGACAAGTTTCGGCAGACGTTTGCGAAGAGAAGCTCTGAAAATATGAAAACATTTTGAGCCGTGGCATTAAATAGGCGCTCTTCTAATTGGAGTCTGCAGACACGCCCCACGCCGCACGCCCCACGCCCCCCGCCCCACGCCCTACACCCCAATCGAGGCAGCATTTTGATTGATTCTGCTGTCATTTGTGTTTCAATAACGGCTGCCACGGACTCGATGTTTGATGCGTGACTGCGAGGGGGGCCAGTGCAAACAGCTCAGAGTCCTCGCAGATCGAGTTTCGCTTTTTATGTGGTGTTTGCCGAAGGCCCAGCACCGTTTTACAAATGGATAGCCCATTGGCTAATGGCTAATGGCTAGCGGAGCGACTGCTCCAAGCCCCCACCCCCCCCACCTACTCGACCCAAATCGGGCGATTGTTAATTATGTAAAATCGATAAATTAAGTAAATTATTTTTGGCAGCCAGTGTGGAGTGAGGTGTGCAACTGCGGACGGTTTGGCGTCAATGAGTCACTTCCCGGAGATGCCGGAGACTACCGAGCGAAGGGTCGCGAAGGGAACAGATGGGACGGAGGGGCACGATAACGATGGCAGCAGAGCAGCTAAGCGGCTACGCCTTTATCGCATCAGTATCAGACCCCGTCCAGACCGCCAAGAGCCACGTGAATTGAAACTTAAAGTGGAGCTCCGTCCCCTATTACCCCTTGCCCACCCAACGCTTTTGTCGGGCTAACTTCGTTTTCCGTGAGATGAAAGCGCTTTATCCAGCGGAAGCGGATTTCGTAAGATGAAATCCGTTCTCTAAAAGCCGAAATCCGCTTTATGAGTGCTCTGTGGACCGGTTGGCGACTTCCCACAGCCACGCACCACTTTAAGTGCGGGTTGGTGAAAGGATTCGCATGTCACCGTGGGCATGCCCGAATGTGCCGTAAATATCCTTATATCCCAATAAACCGGTTCCCACTGTCACCTTCACTGCGAATGGATTCTACTTACTGTGGCCTGTGCCGATAGTAGACAATAGCTAAATACTAATGCTAAATTCAAACGGACCTCTCGCTCCGAATGTCGGATGCGCTGAAAAATTAATATTCAGAAAGACGTCGAGGTGGGGCCCTGGCTGCTACCGCAGCTGAGGCTGGCCACAAACCACAGCAAAGTTGACGAAATTGCTGTTCACGTAACTCAATAAAGGACTTCTAATTTAAATAAAAGCAACCAGAGCCGCCACCCGCGTCAATCTACCGAGGACCTGGCGAACAGGGCCAGGAGCACACACTGCCACCATTGAGGGGCGAAAAAGAGAGGAACACGTTCGCTGACTTTCCACTCCCACTGGGGGATTTCAAGGTGACACATGGCTCAGGGATAGACTGCTGACTGGGTTTCTTTTTCAAGCAATCACATCAAAGGACAGTCTGAGCTGCTGATGTGCCGTGGCGCCGCGCCGTGGCTGTGTCGAATTCATAAAATATTTAAATGCAAAAATGAGCATGCAAAACGGACGAATGTTTCGCTACATTAGCGATGAGGGCAACAAAAGCGCCAGCCCCCCCAGCCGGAGGCCATTCCCGCTCCCCTTGAGCATTTAATGAGCAGCTAGACTTTGGAGCAATTCCGTTAGCTCAGTCGGCACCCGTGGGACACTTTTTCTCACCGACCCCACGGCACCAGCCATTGTTCCCGTCGCTCTTCGCCCTGTGAAGCTAAATACCTAATGGCATCCCTAATGGGATGGCACCCAGCCCATCCCACGTTCTGGAACTAATGAAACAAAAAGTGCAAAAATCATAATTTTTATTTTGTTATAGCTAGCCTGGAACTTGGAATACGCTGGGAGCAATCGTTTTCTTTCTTGCGACAAACAAATCAACGTCCATTCCGAGCAGTCTTTGACGGAATGTAAGTCGATATCGCGGAAGTGTGCTCCATTAGCTGGATGTCGTGAGGGAATCTTACCAGCCCCGTAACAGCCCACTGCGATTTGTAAAAGTTTAGCTATTACGGGACATCCCGAAAGACATTTGAAAAATCATCCCATGGGTCCGCCTGCCCAATGACCCATACACGTGTACATATGTACTCCAACCGGATATATCTTTCCTTGCCTGTATTCTCAGAGCCCCGTATCAGCAATCGTGGAAGGCTCCCAACGTAATGGTACTTTTAAACAGCATGATGGAAATATACAAAACTGTACTCGTACATGCGTATACTTATTTGAGGGCGGCTGGTGGCAAATGGCGTACAATTGATACGTTTCCAATGACGCCGGGGAAACGGAACGGCAAGGAACGGGATGAACCCCTTGATGGACGAGACACGATGAGAACTGTCAGGGGCTGAACGCAAAGACGTCTTGATGGATAGATCTCTGAAGGAAAGCGAAGCAACGGCTCATCGAGCGGAGGCAGGAGTGGGACAGCAGAAGCCATCCAAATACGTATGCCAGGCACGACAAAATTGCTTCAATCAATCATAGAAAAACACTGCTTCCAATTAAGCGTGGCGAGGCATCCCTTGAGGTGCCAATGGTGGAAGTATTGTGATACAAAAGCAGACTGGCATCGAGTCTAAAACTAAAAAACTTTGCAACTATCAAACTATGGACCTGGGTACCCTATAACCCTGAGGAGGAGGACATTCGAAGACCCGCATATTTGACGTTGACGGGGGAAACTTTACGGAGAGCTGACATGTTTATATTTTGCACAAATCCCTTAGGCTCTGACCACTTTAGTGCACAAGTGTCAAACAAAACTAATCAAGCTTTAAAAAACTAAAACTGGTCACGAATTACTCTTCGCTCTACGGGGCCTACGGGAACGCCGTCTTTCTATAGTAGATTGCTATTAGTAAGCCTGCCATCCTTAGTGAACCGTAGAAAAATGCTTGGTGTGATTTTTATGCACAACTTTATCATGGGTGACCTAGTTAGCCCTGATCTGTTGAGCCGCATAAACGTCACGATTTCTATTAGATTCACTAAAAAACCACACATATATCGTTGTCCCCTCCACATTGTAGATCGAATTATTCCTTGGATGAACCGTTTAGGGTCTTATGCTCGGCCTATAATTCCCTCTACCAGACTATATCCACCTCTAATTCCCTGCCTCTTATTAAATTACTAATACTCACATATGTACCTGTCTCGTAATTAGTAATTGTAGTTGTAGTTTAGTCTAACAGCTGTCTTTCCTATTCGCGTTCGGCTCGGTTAACGCGCCACGCGTCATGCGGCAGCGCTCCTCGGTCGGTTGGACGGCAGGAGGGCATCCGCCTGGGATCCGCGCGTAACAGCCTTCTGCTGATGTCAGTAATTACATTGCCAATTGAAAGATGCAGCCATTGCATATCACAAGTTGCTGCGTAGACCCAACTCTACATTTATGTATACCCGATATGTATATAATTAGTATGGCTCCACCTGACGGCGCTAATATTGAACGACACAACAAAGAGTGCGTGCGAGAGAGACAGAAAATCAGTCAGAACGCGTCGTCGGGCGCTGCGTAGCGACCGGAGATTAATTTGTTCCTTTTGTTTATAATAATGTTCAGATCTGATTGTTTTTGATTTCTCTTCCTAGACTACTAGACTACTTCGTCTCGATCGCGCCGAGGAATAGATTGTGGGACCGAGTTGTTTTCTTCGTTCTGGTTATAATATTTATTCGATCTGATCTGAATTCTGCATAGCATTACATTTTTTTTTTTTTTTGTACAATATGTCCGAAATGAAAAATGATGAATAGTGTGCCTTGTATGTGTGTGTATCCGAGTGCGGGGGTAAATGGGTCAGTGTGTAAGTTCTGGTGCTCCATTAGCGGTTCCAGACATCCAGTAGCTTGATAGCGTTCTCCAGGCATCCCGAGGAGATGACGAGAGCGCGAACATTGCGGCGATGATTATTGTAGCCCATTTCAAGCAGTTTGTCCAGCTGCTCACGAAAAGACCGTAGCAAATACTCGTAAATAAGATTCAATATGACCTGCCGAAGAACGGCCCGAATGTCGCCCAGGTTCAAGCCGCTGTGCGACGCCTCCCAAGGGTTGGGCAGCGGCTCTCTGTTCTCAAGTCCGCGCTGGGAATTTCCCCCATTGTCATGGCCGCGCGAGAACTGCTGATAGGTCCTGGCCACATTGTCTTCTTCGGATCTGCGCATTTTATTGTCGAGGCGGCCCAGCAGCTGAGGACCACCAGGGACGAGCTCCAAGCGCATTGTTATCAGATAACGTCGACGGCGTACATACTCCAGCTTGTCCGGACTCATGGGCAGCGACACCTCCAGGGCCACCTTGCGATTGGTCTTCAAGTAACTACGGAGCGCGTCGCCCGTGATGCCATTCTTTTTCAGAATTTGCTTCAATTGCCTCTTCAACAGGTTCTTCAGACGGTCCGGATTTTTGAGAATCTCTCTCACGTCTTCGGCAAACTTAGGCCCGAGCAGGCCGGTCCACGCCGCCTGTTTTGGGGGCGCGGCCACAGCTGCCGGTTGGCTGGGCGCAGCGTTGCCTCGACGGCACACCACGTGCACATTGACGCCAGAAGTGATGCCAATGGTGTCAATAGTGACATCATCACGGAGCACCTGGCCGCCGAAGACCAGCACAATTTTGTCAATAGCCCGCTCGAAACGCACGGCCACCAGGGCCCGCAGATTCCGAATCAACTCATTCTTGCGCACCGAGACGATTGCCTCCATATCTACGGACTTGGCCACTATTTCTATGTAGTTTTCGCGGCTCATGGCGTCGACTCGTATGAATTGTAGATATAAAGAAAACGATCGGTTCTGTTGTTATCTGCTGTGCGGAATTTTTCAACTGAATTTGTCTTTCTGACTTGGGGATTTTTGATTCCTGAAGTTTTCAGTCTGCTCTGATGCCAAAAAATTTTGTTCGAGAGCTGCACATGTCCAAGTGCTGCCAAACTTGATTATAATCGTCTTTACCAACACTAGATGTTTACCAGCACTAAAATGCGTTAAAAAAGCCGCATCCCAACAATATACGATTTTGCTACTGGAAACGGAAACATTTTCTTACGTCCCTTGCATACAGTGAATCCCGTGCAAACGGAGCCCTCCGCAGACATGTCGGAACCTTTATTCCACATCCACTCAGCCCCCACTCTGTCTGTCGTTTCAGACGGATCGTGCTTGCAACTGGCTCCCCAAGTTCGAGGGCAGGTAGCCGAGTCAACAAGCAAACACCGGTACTCCGCTGGGAGCACACATCCGCATCCTATCCACAGCTGCGGCCAGAGGCAGTACGGAACACAACACGGACAGGACTGGCCACAGCCGAATCAATTGGATTTCAAAGGGAGAGGTGGATCCGCAGATTGGCGAGCACCATTGATGTAGCAGCCATGGGCGCCAATACATCGAGCAGAGCCGACGCGAGTCTGCTCGCCGACGATGACGGTGAGTGGGGATTGGGATAGATTAAAGCAAATAGCTTGAACATCACAGTAGCCCGGCCTTGACTTGACAACCTATTGAAATAGCTTACGGGCACGCACCCGAATCCAACTGAGGGGTCGAAGGGGGGCCATGGAGCTGTGGAGAATGGACGAACTGTGCCTGGTGAAAATATTGAAATGCCTCGCCCTGCCGGACCAGCTGGCCATGCTCCAGACCTTCCAGCGGTGTCGCCCGCTCCTGGGGCGCATCTGGCGCTCGCAACTGACCGAGATTAAGCTCAATCTGCTGGAGGTGCCGCTGCACAAGGACGACTTCGACTTCCTCCTGACCAACGGCCGGGCGCAGCTGAACGAGCTGAGGCTCAACTACCTGGGCAGGGACCACTTTGAAGTGCTCGTCGGGCACAGGTTTCCCCAGCTGCGGCTCCTCGAGGTCGATCTCCTGCCGCCGTTCTTCCTGTGCCCCCGATTGTTGCATCAGCTGGGACAGACTATGCCGTTGGCGTTGGGTAGTAATACATTTTAGGGGGTGTGCGAGTGGGTGTTCAATTGGTCAATAAAGTGGTCTGCAATCCTTAAAATCAGGTGATATACGCATTCCATCTCTCTTACATTTTCAGTAAATTTTGACCATTTCCAAATACTTCGTGCTATCGGCAAGGGAAGCTTTGGCAAGGTAAGAGCTTCCGCATGCACCCACATGGGTGCACCGGCATACTTATCGCGTGGGACTGAGCTGAACAAGCTGAACAATCGAACATTCACAGGTGTGCATTGTGCAGAAGCGAGACAGCGGCATTCTGTATGCCATGAAATATGTGAGTCGCTCCGCCTGCGAGATGCGTGGAGCGCTGGGCGGTGTCATCAAGGAGGTTGAGCTGCTGTCCTCATTGGAGCATCCGTTTCTAGTCAATTTATGGTTCTCATTTCAGGGTAAGTGCACACAAACACAAACACAAAACCCAAACCCAGCCCAGACAGACCCGGCAAGCACCACCTTAAGTTCGAGTATGCAAATGAAGCTGCCACTGCCACTGGCACTGCCACCTTTGGCCGCTTAGCAGCTCCGCTCCTGAGTCTATCACTGCTCTTGGAGCCGTTGCCGTTGCCGTTTCTGTTGCTGTGGCTGATTGGCAATCAAAATGCAAATTAACTCTGTACATTTCCTTTGAAGCCCGAGACTATGACATTTATACTCGTATATCTTTCATCCTTATGGCACACTCACACTCACACCCACATCCACATCCAGACGAGGAGGACTTATTCATGGTATGCGACCTGTTGACTGGTGGTGATTTGAGATATCACTTACAGAACCGAGTAAGTCCGCACGCGACAACTCTTAGCCTTCAGACTCAGACTCTACTCCCTTTTCCGGGCCCATGCCTGTGTCCGTTCTCCTTTCAGGTTGAATTTTCCGAGCAGAGTGTGGCCTTATTAGTGTGCGAGCTTGGCAGTGCGCTGGAGTACCTGCAGACACAGCGGGTGGTCCACAGGGACATCAAGCCAGACAATATTCTATTGGATGATGGCGGTGAGTATCCGGAGAACAGGACTCGTTCCGGTTGGACGGGAGACGCTTTTCATTTTCCGAGACAACATCCAGGCCATCCGCGTCTATAATTCATAATAATGACATGGTGGTCGTGCTCAAAAATGTATTGATTTCATTTGGAAAGTTCTGTACACAGTACGGCCTCTGAAGCTTCTCTTGGGGTGGCACAAATTATTCATTTGCCACCCAGCCATACAGTGGGACATGGCAATCGACCGACCGACCGACCACAGTGACGAGCAACCAGCCAGGCGGGCTGAGAGTCTTTTTAATGACATTCAGGTGATCCAACGATGTGTTCATATCCACGTATGTACATATTGTGTGCTGATTCACAATGTCTATAGTGTTAGGGAAAGTATTTTGTTCCCAATCTAAGTGGAATTTCCAATCACGGAACGATATTCTGACTCGTTTTGTTCGTGGCAATAACACAGAAATATACGAGTCAGCCGCGGGAAATTGTTTTCTTCATTCATTTAGTAGATTTTGTCTAAGTACAACTGCTGTTGCCAGTGCTCGTGTTCCACTCAATATTCTCGAATGCACTTCATTCACGAACATTGCCAAGAACATTCAATAATAATTGTTATTGAATTGCAAGCGGAGTAAAGGGAATGGGCGAATGGAAAGCCAACCGCAATTAGATTACCACCCACTCGTACGCCCACTTGAAGGAGCCACATGCATGCATTAAGAGTGCCGCCCCCACTGACGAGAAATTAATTCCAGGACACGCTCATTTGACTGATTTTAATATTGCGACGAGGCTGCAGAAGGATGCGATGGCCTGCAGCATGTCGGGGACGAAGCCGTATATGGCGCCAGAGGTTTTTCTATGCGCCCTGGACGAAGTGGGTGAGTGTGTCTGCCCAGGCACAAGCTGAATTAAACCTACCGAAGCGATAATTGACTGCTTCCTGATTGTTTCAATTTAATTACAGCTGGCTATAGCTACCCAGTGGACTGGTGGTCCCTGGGCGTTGTGGCCTACGAAATGCGTAGCAACGTCCGCCCCTTTGTGGTGCACTCGAACACGCCCTTGGCGGAGATCAAGAACATCCTGAACACCCCTGTGCACTATCCCCGCTATTGGAGCAGCAACTTCATCGATCTGCTGCAAAAGGTACGTTAGCTGCTAGCGACCACCGAGGGATCTTCGTTTCAGATCGCACTCTACTTTCTTGCAGTTACTCTCCACGTATCCCGGGGGCAGGATCAGCACTCAGCATGAGCTGCACCAGACGCCGTTGCTGCGGAACATTGACTTTCAGCAGGTGCTCGACAAGAAAATAAAGCCCATCTTCAAGCCACCCGAAGACCACCTGAACTGCGACCCGTGCTTGGAGCTGGAGGAGATGATTGTGGAGACGCGGCCGCTGCACAAAAAAAAGAAGCGTCTGGCCAAACAGCGGTCAGCCCAACGCGACAGCGACCCAGAGACCGTGCTCGTCAAAGAGTTCATCGTCTACAATCGCTACAAAGAGCTTAAGCGAAAGGCCATGGAACAGAAGGAGAACGACTGGCAGCGTGAGCTCGAATTGGCCATGGCCAACTCGATAGTCAACAGCTTGGCCCCCATTCAAGAGAGGCCCGCCTCGTCCACTTCCACGTCTATTAGCCATGCAACAAACCCCGCGATCACCACTCCCACGCCTACGCCAGCAGCCACCAATTCACCGTCTGGCAACGCAAGGTGCACCGCCTGCAAAGAGAGTGATAGCATCGAATTCATAGATCGCACGCCGTCCCCGCAGGGCACGGGCGGAGGAGCCACAACTGCCACCCCGACACGGCTCTGCAGCACGTTGGACAAGGCAACGGGCACGGCACAAAAGTAGTATCGTACGATCAGTGCGAATACCACCCGAACCCTCCGCACGGAACTAATGGCACATTCATGAGTGCATCATCGTATGGCAACGCAACAGGTTTCACTGCGAGCACAAGCACAAGCCCCAAGGCACATCCAAAGAGATCCAGAACCTACGAGTATTTTTCGAATTCCGCTGAATTTCACCTTTGTACGAGTACGTGTACGCGTAGTTATACATAAATATAAATAAAATAAAACATATAATTTGTATTTCTATTGCCTAAGTCTTAAGTGTAAGTCCCTTTGTACATATGCGTGTATCTATGATTAGCTGTTAGCTGAAATCAAAATAAATGTAAAGAGGCACTGCAGAAAGCGGGGTTTACCTCAATAAAACTGGCAGCGTAGTTTCGATTTTTTTTAAGTTTTTATTTCAAGTTATATTTCATTCATGTTTCACATATTTTTGTAATGCCTTTCTTTGTATAAAAAAGAGTAAATAATTATGTTCTGTATGTATAATTGTTGTATTCACGCACTTGTTGATCTCTCGTTAAATATATTAGTTATTCTGGGTTGGTGTTATTATTGGATTGGTTGGTGTGTGTCGAAAGTGGCTAAACACTAACCAAATTTCTATAATAATCCCCTTCTGTATATTATTTTATCAGCAAAATGCAACATGTTAATAGTTTGTTAATTTCTCTGGTTCTATCCGCGATCTCTCGTTTTCATTTGTGGGCTTTTACGGTTAATTTTACATTTTACGAATATCATTTTAACATCTTTCACCCATCATTCCCCTCCCCACCCTGTCGTCAGCAGCTCAACTGCATTGGGGGCTGGGTGGGGTCGGAAGATGGTCGCTGGGTCTCGGTGCGAGGGTGAGAAAATGGAAAAGAATCAAGAAAGTCCCCAGCATGGGGAGCGTTTACATCGAGAAGCGAATAGAGCAAGTGTGTGAATGATTCTTTCTCAATAGAAATGGTGTTCCACTCTGCATTTGTGGAAGGAGTATTTCAAAGATTCAATTAAGTTGAATAGCTTACAAGATTTAACGAATTTTTCTTTTGTTTTTCTTAAGCAAAAACAAATGCAATTGTTTAGAAAAGCGTCAGTTTTGTGTGTGTGTTCTGTGTCTCTTTAGAAAATCTGCTTTTTTGTTCTCATCTTTTGGTTTTTTGTTTTTGTTAGAAGAATGAAGGAGTAGAGGAAACTACAAGCTGCTAAAATGATGTTCCGTGTATGTTTGAGTGAGTGTGTGGGAGGGAGATGAGTGTAAGTGTATGTGTAGTGTAGTGTGTAGTATGTAGTGTTGTTGGAGTTCGGCGTGTCATTTTTTGTTTGTTATTTCTCGGCTTTTTCTAAACAAAATGTTACTTTTTTTCGTTGAACTCCATGCGTGGCACTGCAGGCGGACATCCGCCGCAGCCGTTTGGTGGCTGCGCTAAGCGCTTGGTCATACTATACTGTGGTGGTGTCCACAGACTCGATACGTGCAGCGCTCGCGTCTCCGGCCCCCACAGTAGCAGACTCCGCCCCGTTCAGCGCACCGCCATCGACATCGTTGCCACCCTCGACAGCGCCGGCATTGGCAGCTGCGCCATTCTTCTTGGCGCCAAACTGGATCAGCTCGACGTGCACGTTGATGGTTTTCGTCTGTGCTGTCTCTGCAGACTCGGCTGGCTCCGACTTCACTACAGTTTCACCCTCGGCAACAGCTGCGACTGCCGGAGCCGGCTCGCCACCGGTGGTGATGGTCAGCGAGAGATCGTTCAGTGATTTCAACACCTTGTCGACATCGTCCTGGGTGCTGGGAGTGCCATTGCGGTTGCCAAAGTAGAGGTAGCACTTGCCGAAGTGACCTGTCAGGAAAAGCGTCGAGTAAATAGTCATTGTTCACCTCTCCACCAAAGTTTTATAAAACTACTTACCCTTCCATGCGATAGACATCGGATTGCATTCGCGCTTACGAAGCTCACTCTTCAGATCCTTGACGCGAATGTCACGAGTCAAGTTAGTCAACTTAACGCAAAAGTCACGCGGCCCGCGGTTTTTCTTCTTCGTCTGACGACGCTCGCCAGCGCCCCCCTCATCGAACTTACGATCCTCACTCTTGGCACCTCCCTCAACTCCAGACTGATCGCCCTCAGACTGAAATTTAATGAAAGTGTGAAAAGGGAGTCCATAATGGCCCAAAGTACCATCAATTAAAGTCACCTTGGTTGTGCGTCTGCGGCGGTTGACGAAGCGACCCTTTCGGCGTGGAGCCCGTTTCTGGGTATTTTCCTGCATTGGTGAACCATACATATGTCCATATAATATGCTTTATACTTTAGACAGATGTATTATTTTACTTACGCCCTGTTGTTCGTTGTCAGTCTGTGAGGTGGTGCGTCCTGGGTTTCCTCGTGGGAAGCGACGACGCAATGGCCCACGACGGCGCCTACTGTTTTGATGCTGCTCAACATCAGTGTCCTCCGACTTCAAGGCAATGGTCTTGCCTGATTTCTCCTCCTGCTCCTTGAGCTGTTGCAGAACGGGCAAGATCTTAAGGCGACGCTCAGACAAAATCTCCCAAAAGACGCCATTGGGACGGGGCAAGCGCTTTGCAACGCGTATGACCTCTGTGGGCGTTACGATAATGTCCACTGGTGTATCGTACTTCTGAAACAGATTCAAGGGCAGAGTGTCCACCACCTGCAGATCGTGCACAATCGTGGCTATCACTGTGTCCGGTGTTATGGCACCCAACTCAATGAGCAGACCAATGTCCAGGTCCGCAAATCCATTGCCACGACCAATTCGGTAGCCCTCGCGTGAAACTACGACGGAACCAATCACCACAAGGTCTAATTTCAGTTTACTCTCCAGTCCGATTTCCGTGCGGAACTTGAGAATATCCTGGACGCGCAGAGCCTCTTTCTTCTGTTCGTCGGTGGCGTCGGCTGGTACATCGACCTTAAGGCACAGTGCCGACGAGTCGCGTGTGCTGGGCAAATAAACAGACTTGTCGGCGAGCAAAGCCTGTTCCTTAAAGTCGTGAAGGGCGCGATCGATGTTCACCTTGATGTGCTCTGCGGAAATAGCAACATAAATGAGTGTCGTGTCCTATAAATGTGTTCACTCAATCAACTTACCGGCCTTCTTGAACTCCTCCTCCTGAATGAGCAATGCAGCAGCCTTATCGGCATCCACAAATGCAGGAATCCGATTGAATATGTTGTTAAATCCAATGCCAACCTTGCCCTCCTGGATCTTTTTCCAAGTCTGCACACGGAGGGAGCGCTTTGTGGGCTCCACGGGCTGAGCTGTTGGAGGAAACATGTTAGTTTCTTGAGCATTCAGTTTACAAGTAATGCATAAGTACGTAAGCCGGTAAAAAACAAAAAGAAGTGAGCGGCGGTCGCTGCCAGTTCTTATCGCTGACCCGAGCCCATAGCTGAGGCATGTTATCACGCCAGTTTTACGCTGGACTGAAAGCGAATAAATTTCTCAGCTGATACTGGAGCTGATAAACCGGTTTCCACGCCCAACAATCAGATATTAGCAATTTAGTCTAAACAAACACTACTAAACGCCGGCACGGAACTGTCTTTCAACAAACAAATGTGCATGGAAAACATTCGGCAGGGTTGCCACATTTTTGAATTTCCGTAAAGTCTATGCACATGAACACACACGCAAATGCATACGTACGTGTGTGTGCAAAAATAATGATTACAAACAAATTCTGGTGCACATGCATACAGATGTGCAGAAAGAAATTGCGTGTGCGTGTTTGAAAATTCAATTTAAAAGCATTTAAATATCGATATTGACGCATGACCAATAAGTTGGCAACGCTCTAGCACTCAGGCACACACACACACATACACGCACTAAACATTTCTTGGCGATGAGCGCATCAAAACGCGAATTTCTCAATTAATATGTATGCATGTGAGTAGTGATGTGTGCTTGTGTGCGAGTGTGCGAAGGGGAAACGGACAGGCGACAAGAATGACATTAGACGGCCCGAAAACTCGACAGATCGAGCAAGGGCAGTCAAAATGTTTGCCGAAAATGATTCATTGTGCACTATTTGCGGGCACCGCTTGGTAATTGTAAGCAGTCCCAGTAGTTTTTAGCATAAGAATGCGCGCCACGATGACGTAATTGGTACCAACAACAAAAACCGAAGACCGCCGACCGACATGAAAAAAGCGGGCATGTACAGACAATTGTTTTTGTTGTACTTTTTCTCATCTCTCTGCTCTTATCCTTCTTCATCCGAGTTTCCTTTTGACGTTTAGTTTCGGCAATTTGACAACTCATTTACCGCAAGAGCCGCATAGAAAGAAATATGGCGGAATTTTTTGACAACTTTTTTGTGCACTCTATGTAAAATGGCCGAATGTACACGGTGGAGGGGGGAGTGAGAAAAAAGAAAAAATATTCGTCTAGGGCCGCCCGCTAAAATAATTCCCTTGATCTGCTTTAAAGGCAGCAATAGTGCAATGCACTAACTAAACACATATACGAACACGACGACGCAGAATGTTTATGATAACATTCTCACACTCGCGCAAAATATATGCAAGTTTTCTGTTCTACTTCGTCACCGTCACCCTGACGGAGAATACTTACTTGTCGATGACACCTCCTGGGCTGTGTTAGCGCCATTCTCCGCGGCGGCTGCAGCTGCAGGATCTGCGTTGCTTTGATTTTCCATAGTAATTCGATTAAAAATTGTGTACTTGAACTATTTTTTCTTGCTTTTTTTTCTTCAACAATTTATTTTTTCACTGAACACAATTTCTCGGCAACGTGCCTTCCAACTCCACCAGTGTGACCGCGGACTTTTCGATCAAATATACCGGCCGACCCTCAGAAATATACCGAAACATACCGCATCATTTAAAAAATATACCGTAAATATACTGACGAATTCAAGGTATATTTTACATATTCCTCGTTTTTGATATTCCGTGGAATATTACAAGCTATATGGAACATTTAGCTATGCCCAGATAATTTTATACGATTGATAAATCAATTTTCTACTTGTTTGGCTTACTTTAAATAATTGCTTTTATTGGATTTCTATATGAAATGGACAAAATCAACACAACCACGTTTTTGGGAAAAAAAAGTTTTGGAAAAACATCGATGTGATCGATGTTTACAATATTGCTAATGTGTGTGATCTAATGGTAAAATTAGTTTGAAGTTTTAGCTGAAATGATTTATTTTTCGTCTTTACCCTCAGCTATAATTATTACGCCACCCTTAATGAGTGATGATAGTTGACACGATAGGCACCACTTCTAAATGGCTTTGATAAAATTTGTATGTTTGCTTTGGAGACAATAGTAGTTTATGAATAAAGAAATACGATGAGTTTTAAAATAAAAATATACTCTTTTTGAAATTATTTTACCCTGTTTTGAACAAAACCTTATTTACTATATTCATTTCATACCCTTCATGGGTTAATTTTAGCCGAACATTTTGAAAACATGGATGTATCATCGGACTTATCGATATAACATACTCAAAATATACTATAATATACTCTGACTTTCAGAAATATACCGTCCCATTTCAAAATATACCGTTGAAAAAGCGAACTTAGCCCACTTAAACCCCCTTTATTTAAACAGGTTAACAACTTGAGCTAAACCAAGTTGCTAAACCAACAGCTAAATCAAGCAAATAACAGCTTTTATTTTATCTTCCACGCCCAAGTGTACCGCGACACCAACCACGCTGCCCATTCTTCATTTATTTTATGGCGGTCAGGTCTATTAATCAATAAGCTGAAGGCTCAAATCAAAAACCAAACTCACATCAAAAATAATTTTTGTAGAAGGGATTGCACTTGCGGTCACTCACACGACAAAAGAAGATCAGATTAAAGATTAGACTAAATACGGTTAATTATGCTCTGTTGTAGCTCTTTGTAATTTTTACCGTAACTTCACTTATCTAAGTACAATTAAAGAAGAGAAGCTCTACGGGAAGAGAACGATGTAGTAAACATTTTAACGAAATAAACGTTCCCAGTGCAAGACACATACAAACTCAACTTCGCTTACAATTATTTTTTACATATGAACTTTTATTCACTATTTTAACCCAAAAACATAAAATTTCAATACTTCTTAATATGTAATATATAATGACTCTTGGTTGACCTTTTCGCGGAAATGCCCATGTGTTTTATCTTCCTGAAGCAGGTCCGGATATGGACGACATTGGCGTTTTGTGTACACGGCGGTCCAGATACATAACTCCACAAACATTCAATAGGGACTACTTTTGGGCAGTTATATAGCAGCCAAGACCTTACTTTATGGGTCTTATGCTTCGGGTCATTGTCCTGATAAAACTTTAACATATTTTCAATGCCCGTTTTATCCGCCGACTGCTTCACATTTTCTTTCTTTCTTTCCAAAAATACACATCGAATTTATGGAATCTTATCACCCCAAGGTGAATAGTGTGGGAGGCTATCCAGAATTGGACAAAACATAATAACAATAAAATAATAAAAAAAAACAATTACATCTTGCACGTTACCAATACAAAAGGTTACCAAGAGATTGCAAGGTGTGTGACCTAGGGAGGGTTATCATTTCTCACAGCGATGCACAAATTAATCAAATTGCAAACATTATGAAGATATTTTGAAATTTAATCCTAACACTGTTTATTTAAGGGGCTAGTTTTAAAAACTGAATTATTTACAAACATTAATTTTAAATCGTAATCTGTTTCAATAATTTAGAACTTTAAGGAGATATGTAATTGCACACGGTATTGTCCCTTCTACGAAGTTAAGAAAATAAAAATAAATAAAACTGCTTCCGTCAACGTATGGCTTGCGACATGTGCAGGGGTGTCACCATTAGCGTCAATTCGGCATCCTTTAGGTTCGCTCCTCGCAGGTTAGCTTCCTGGAGATCGCTGCCAGACAAATTGCACCGCTCTAAGTCTGCTCCGGCCAGAACGGCGGCCCGAAGATTACAATTCTTCATGTTGGCATTCTTCAGGTTGGCCACTCGCAAATTGACACCAGCCATGTTACTGCTCTCCAAGCAGGCGCTTTTTAGATTGACTCCTTCCAGATTGGTACGCACTCCTGTGGGATCTTCAAAGTTGCACCCGCGTAGGTTGGCCCCTTCCTAAATTGAGATTAATCTGTCTTAAGCCACCAATCGTATACAGCATTTTCTTACCATGTTTGCGCATAGACCTCGCACCGAAACCAATTGCGCGCATTCCAGGTTCGCATACTGCAGGTCCGCTCGCTCCAGACAACAATAGTTGAGATTTGTGTGTGAAAGGTTGCAGTGCGACATGTTCGCGTACTGTGGGATGTAGTAGTGGTAGATACATTTGTTAGAATAATGTGGGAGGCTCCCATTGACCAGCTTGACAGCTTACCTTAAAGTTAATGTTGCGGAAATCCAGCTTTCGCAAATCAGCTCCAGACAGATTGACCCCCTGAAAACGGAGCTCCGTTATGACGGAGGTTTGTATGATGGCCTTTATAACATCCATTCTGGTAAGCGGTCTGTCGCTTTGCGGTTCCTCCTGCTGTCCTAGACGCTCCTCCAAGTGGGTTATCAGCGAGTAAATGCCAAAGAATCGTGCCTCTTCTAGAACTCCCATCACACTAACGTTGGCGTCACAGACGAACTGGCCATGCCTTAAGTAATTAATAATGGGCTCAAAGTAACGTGGACTCCTGTCAATCAGGTAGGCCCCCTGTTCATCCTTTTCGCTGGGCTTCATGCTGCCATCCTGCAGGAACATTCGCGCTAGCATAGAGTCCGGTTCTCTGCCAACCAAGGTGTCAATAGTGGTAGTGTATATCTGGCCGCCCACATTCAGCTTAACCCAACGATTGGGGGCAAAGCTCCTTGCGACGGAAATACTCCCACTGGCGGCCTCGTCTTCTCCAGTATCTCTTTCCTTCGGCTCATTATCCATCTATTTTAGAAATTACACAAATGAATTATTTTTTGTATTTAGTTGATTCCACTGTTTCCTTGTCTTCTTCTTTCCAGACTAATCTTGCCATTCACAGCGAGCATGTGTCATCGGACAAATAATCTATTTCGATAATATGTACGTACATATAAATATATAATTATAAAATTAGACTTCGAAATCACCAATAAATTGCCTAAAAAGTCCAGTGCCGTATCCGTTATACACAATGACCACCGCCGAGATCGCCAGCAGCAGCTCAACTTCCAACTCCACGGGCCAGCGAGGTGTTAGCCGTGTACTTGCCAAGTTGTCCCATTCTTTGGCCGGGGGGGCTTTCTACGAAGCGCACATGATGTACAGAACGTTATATTTTCGTTATACGGCGCAGAAACGCTACCAGGACTGCCTGGACTTGCTTTTTGACGGGGCCCAGAAGCTGATTGCCAAGCAGCAGGAGGGTAGCGCGGCTGACCTGTGTCTATTATTGGTGGACACACTCGAGAAGAGGGGGCCACTGCCTGAGGACACCGAAAACCTCCTCTGGGTGCCACGCTTGGGCACCCTCATACAAGGTCTTAGCTCAGGCATAGTGGAGCGTGAGACGCTGATTGTAAGTAATGAAATTTTCCAATAAAATTGGCCTTGAATTGTTTTGTCGTTCCAGCAACGCGCCATCAAATGGAGCATTTCTTTGCACGGACAGTACGGACACCCGGTCTTGCACAAGCTCATTGCACACGTTTTTTGGACGGAGGGCAACATAGAGTCGGCCCGTCACCATTATCTGCTTTGTCAGGACGGCAGTCTCTGTGGTCGAGTTTTGATTGAAATCAGCCAGAGCCGAGGGTTCCAAAGCGAGGTGGATTTGTTTCTGGTGCAAGCAGTCCTTCAGCAACTGTCGCTGAAGGATCGCAAATCCGCCGAGGACACGTTCATTGAGTACACACGCTATCACCCTAAGCTACTGAGGCACGAGTTTCCCTATAAGGAGCCACTGGTCAACTTTTTGTACTTTCTGTTTCGCTTGATCGAGACAAAGAGTGTGACAGGCTTTCGTTCCCTGCGAAAGCTCTACGATCCATCGCTAAAGCGCGATACATCATTCTTGAAGTACGTAACGAAAATTGGAGTCATCTACTTTGACGAGCAGCCGGAGACAAATGCCGGCCCTCCCGGATTGGGTGGGATGTTCGGCGACATATTCAGTCGGATGATGCAAGGCTTTGACGAGGAGGATGCGGAAGATCAGAGCACGCCCCAGAGAAGGCAGAACGTTAACGAGCTCGACTAACAGCAGTTCCAGCTGCAGCTTCGTCACGAATGGCAATGGAGAACTTCTTGGTTCTTTTTATTAGTGGGCGCTTTTAGTCAACGAGGTTCATTGGCGCTATTTCACCGGACTATTCTTTTCCTTGTTATAATTTTAATATACTGTAACGAATGGACATTTAGTAGACTGACTATTGTTGTCATGTCGGATAATATGGAAAATAGTCAGTCTTAGCTAGAAGTTGTTTGGAACAACTCATTAATCCTTTCGAAAATAAACTCTCTCTGTATAGTTAAAACAATTTCTGTTTTTATAGTTCTAGAATGTTTTCGACTTTCTATAAGTACTGCGAGTTCCTTTCCATGGACCAGGATCTCGGTCTTTTTTGTCTATCGCTACGTTTTCTCGCCATATGACCCGTTTGGTTGCAAATGAAGAATGTTCCGTTAAATACTCCTTGTCCTTTCGCTCTTTTCGGTCGATTACCATTATTCACTTCCGCTTGTACAGTATGCACTTTTGGTGATGGACGGGATATCAATACCGATGTTTCACATGTCAATGCTTGACTGACCGCTTCCTCGTCTGTTTTTCTGTACATCAGTACCATTGCGCGGCGTGTGTCTAAATTCTTGATACCGTGTATAAAACCATTGATTTTGCATCTCTAGAAATTCGGTTGGGACATCATTGTAAGCCAGGCGTGAGAGTCGCTCTATGTCTGTCGCGAACTCTTTAAGTACTCTGCCCTTCAGTTCTAAGCGATGCGCTTCTCGCATGTGGTCACCTCCATATCGACGCTCCAATGCACGCTTAACAGCCTCATAATTAAATTTATCTGCGTCGGGAATCGATTGCAGCACCTCGGCAGCCTTCATCTGTTGCAGCCATCATTTGGCTATTGTTTGCCACCGACTGCTTCTCCTGCACTGTCGACCTGGAGCCTTGCTCATCCAAGACTACGAGTTCTTCTACAGTAAGGCCTGCTCTCTCCATTGCAGCTTTTAAACGCTTGTAATAAAAAGAAACAAGAAGTTCTCCATTGCCATTCGTGACGAAGCTGCAGCTGGAACTGCTGTTAGTCGAGCTCGTTAACGTTCTGCCTTCTCTGGGGCGTGCTCTGATCTTTCGCATCCTCCTCGTCAAAGCCTTGCATCATCCGACTGAATATGTCGCCGAACATACCACAAAATCCGGGAGGGTCGGCATTTGTCTCCGGCTGCTCGTCAAAGTAGATGACCTTAGAGTGATAGCGTGTGTACTCAATGAATGTGTCCTCGGCGGATTTGCGATCCTTCAGCGACAGTTGCTGAAGGACTGCTTGCACCAGAAACAAATCCACCTCGCTCTGGAACCCTCGGCTCTGGCTGATTTCAATCAAAACTCGACCACAGAGACTGCCGTTCTGACATAGCAGATAGTGGTAACGGGCCGACTCTATGTTGCCCTCCGTCCCAAAAACTTCTTCGGAAAAATGCTGCAGTATAATTGAGGAGGAACGTTTGAGAGGATCGCAATGGATATAGTAGGCCCATTCCCAACCAGTGACAGTGGAAATAAATATGTATTCTTACATCCGATCCCTAATCAAGAGGCATCGACAGTGGCGAATGTGTTTATAAATAATTGGAAAACAAGATTCGGAGTACCAATGAAATTACATTCTGACCAAGGTCGTAATTTTGAGTTTCACACATCCAATGATGCATGTGAAACATTAAGAATTTGGAAGACACGTACAAAACCACTTTATCCTCAATCCGATGGAATGATAGAACGTTTTAACAGAACTTTAGAGGAGTACCTTAGGAAAATCGTCGGCACAAATCAAAAAAATTGGGATGAGCCGGAAGGCTGATTTGAAATTCGGCGTAACCCCAACTTTTAATGAAACTGTCAATGATCGTTAAACCCGCAATGATAATATGGGATTGAATGTGAGACATATATTTTATAAAAGGTTTTGTTTTTTGACACTACCACACTTTCACGTAACCCCTTAATATTTACATATTTGAAAAGTGACGATGTGACGACGTCACAGTAATCAAAACGATCAATGTGGCCAGTACCGTTGAGAAAAACTCTGCCAGCATAACAGCACGACATCTTAAAAAAAACGTTATTTTGTCGGAAATAAAGAAAAATAAATTAATTGAAAAAGTTTAAAAAGTAACCAACGTTTTTTAGCAACAAATTTCCATTGTTCATTGGTATGTATCGGAAGCCCGATATATTTGAAATAGCCAGATTTCCGGCTAATACAACATATTTTCAAGCAATTGAACTTTAAAAATGGCCACACCCATCTATAAAAGAGCTGAAGTGGCAACACTGATGCGGTCATAAAATTAGATATGTATCAAAAAATTATTTTAGTTTCGCTTTATATAGAAATCCAATAAAAGCAATTATTTAAATTAAGCCAATCAAGTAGAAAATTGATTCATCAATCGGATAAAATTATGTGGGCATGACTAAATGTTCCCTATAGCTGGGAATATTTGACGGAAGATATAAAACGAGTATTTACTGGTGAATAACCGGTTGAAAACAATAATTACCGGCAACACTAGTTCTCATACCCTACGGAAAACGATGATATAGAATTGAGAAAATGCTTGTCATCCAAGGCTCCGTAGGTATCAGGATCGTGATAAATATACACAAGATACTAATAATGTACTTGAATATGTCTAAAGAATATCACTTTGAGAAAAGGTTTTTAGAAATTACGTTTTATCTTCATACAAAATTAACGAAATAAGGTGTACAGAGGCATATGCGCGCATCTATCTTAAAATTCCAGCAACATTGCGACTGTCTTTTTTTGTTGACCTATTTTGTTTAAACCTTGTTTTAGTCAAAATAAAACAAGAGCATGGACTAAAAACTAGCCAATCTAGAAGAAAATGTATTCATTAATGGCCTTAAATGATGTGGGCAGAACTATGGGCTTTAGTTAGACAGAATTATTCAATGGAATCTCTAAATTGAGCAATATGAACGACTATCCTCTTTCGGTTTGTTTTTTGTTTGACCATTTTCGCTAAAAACTTTTTTTACGCAAAATGAAATAAAAGCAATTATTTAAAGTAAGTAAGTCAAGTAGAAAATAAATTCACTAATCGGATAAAATTATGTGGGCATGGCTAAATTTTCTATATAGCTAGTAATATTACACGGAATATCAAAAACGAAAAATATGTAAAATAGAACTTGAATGTGTCAGTATATCTACGGTATATTTTTCAAATGAGACGGTATATTTTTTAAATGAGACTGTATATTTTGATATATATTTCTGAGTGTCAGTCACACTGTAGATATGTATCAACAAATTATTTTAGTTTCGCTTTAGTTTTGTTGTACAACTAAAAATTCAGACGTACTACGCAGCTGAAAGTATCAATTGCACCAAAAGAAACAAAGCAAAACTAGAGGCCGCGGTACGCACGCAGAGTAAGCTAAATTGAACAGGTCAAATTCAGGTGCAGACCATTAACACAAGTAGTATATGGTGTGACATTTGCAGCGAAATGGCTGACAATGCGGCAGTGCCCACTGCCGATGTTGCAACTGCAACTGACGTTAATACCGGTGATAGCCCGCCGCTCACAACCTCACCCGCGTCCGCTGATGACCACACGACTCTTATATTTCCACCTGCTCCAGGATCCGGAAACGCCCAAGTCTCCACCCACGCAGATAAAACATCGACAGATGCCACCACTTCCACAACAGTTTTGGTGGGTGGTGAGACCCTTGAATCGGAACGTTGCTGTTGGATATGCTTTGCAACCGACGAGGACAACCGTTTGGCTGCCTGGGTGAAGCCGTGCCAGTGCCGTGGGACTACCAAGTGGGTGCATCAGAGCTGCCTATATCGCTGGATCGATGAGAAGACGCAGAAGGGAAATGCACTGCGCACCGTATCCTGCCCGCAGTGTCAAACAGAATACATAATTGTGTTCCCACAAATGGGAAAACTCGGTGGCGCTCTCGAAGCTGTTGATAACATGATCAAACGCTTGAGTCCATTTCTGGCCGCTGGTTTCTTTGTGGGTTCTCTATATTGGACAGCAGTTACTTACGGGGCGGTAACATTCTTACAGGCAAGCGTTTACCTTATTTGTTGTTATTAAGATCGCCTGAAAACACATTTCCTATGACAGATCGTGGGTCATGAGCATGGTATGTCCATAATGGAGGCGGGAGATCCGCTCGTTCTTCTCATCGGGCTACCAGCCATTCCAGTTGGTCTGGTGCTCGGCCGTTTAATACGCTGGGAGGATGCTCTGCTGCGTCTGATTCGCAACCGTGGCACAGTGGTGCGCAAATTTCCCTTTGTTAACCTCCTGTATCCGAGCCTGTAAGAGAACACAGTCCATTGAAACTATCTGGATGGTCAAAGTATTTATTCTTTCATTAATTCCACAGTACCCAGGAGGAGCAGCCAATCAACAGCAATCCGGCCACACCTGCTCTGTCTGATCCAGTTTCAGCTACACGTGTCTTCTGTGGGGCCCTTCTTTTGCCCACCATCTCATCAATTGTAGGTCGCATTCTCTTCGAATCTGTGGACAATACGTTACATCGCACGCTGCTGGGAGGTCTGACCTTCATAACGGTTAAGGGTATCCTAAAAATATATTTGAAACAGAAGCAGTATGCGCGTCGAAAGAAGCGTCGCATCGTGGACTACACGGAGGAAAATATACGCAATTTTATGCATCGCAACACTAACAATCCTGCCGGCGGCGCACGTCAGCCACAGCAGCCCCCGGTGGCCCAAGCTTCCCGGATAGCCGCCGCAGCGGCCCGTGAACGCCAGCATGGGGACATTGTCTAGATGGACGGCACAGTGGACCCAATTGATAATGCTAACATTTTTCTAGTTCTCGGCTTTTTACGTAGATTGTTTCATCTCTCGCACCTGCAGGAGCACGCTAATCACTAGCTGAGAACAACTATCCGGTAGGCGGTCTGCCAGCAAAATTTATTGTACAAGTCAAGTCTCCAGAAAATGAAGTGTATGTTGAAATATTTGGCCAAGCTTTTTGTTAGCAACACAAATAAAACTCCCTCCCCTCCCATGTCCCTTCATAGATGTAATATTCAAGTAGGTTATATTACATACATACATATATGCTTCCACATATTTGATTTATTCGTTACCATTTTTGTAAATTACAAAGTTGCCTCTGTAAATAAAAGCAAACCCTTGGCTGTGGGTGAATTATAACCATTATATTACGGGTATTTCAGGACATTGATAGCCTCCTATTCGATTGCCCTGCAACTTCTCGACCTTTGGAACCGCTTGGGTCTGTTCTGAACTTTGGTGTAACACCACAATGTGAGCAGTTTAGTGCAATTCGCAAGGTCTTGTGCTCCGGCTGCCAGATTAGATAGGCTTTTTATATCACTGAGGTCCGTGGGCGAGAGAGCGCAGACAGAGTATGAGCTGGTACTGGTCTATGCAAGCTGTAAGAAAGTGCGAATAATTTGTTTATAAATATGTACTGGCTTGTAAGCCGGCTGGGGCTGGGCTGCTGAGTCATTCCGATTCAAGATAATTTATCCGCAACGCAACTGGCCGCCTGGCATACATATGTATGTATGTTTGTACAAAGCTGAATCTATGCAGGTGTGTGATTCATATATCCCCAGCACTCAAGCAGCATTGGCTTGGCTTAAGCCGATCCAGCGACTCATGCATTTTATATAAATGAACAACAACATATGTACATATGTACTTCAAATGTATATAAAATCTAAAGTCGTCTGTAAACTTGCGACGGATGATATATGTACATATGTATGTATGTATGTACATATACATTTGTACAATACAAAAAGATACTGTTAAAGAACCGTCCAAAGTGAATGCTCCAAAAAGCGATCTAATCATTTATAATTGTTAGCAAGTTTTGTGTTTGTTTTGTCTATTTGCGCTTATCATCGACAGCACCGGCAGCAAGATATCGGTGTGCATTTGGCAGATACTTCCACTGAAGGAAAAGCGAACCCTATGCGGCCGACTCGACTTATAGATGGGCTTCGTAACAATGATATCTAGTCATATCTAGTCCTTCTACAAGTATAAATAAATAGTATTAGGTTATCTAAGAATTACAGATATAGGTATACCTATACATATAGGCATAATTTGGTTACTTTCGAAAATGTAGGGCGCTTGGTGTTTCATATAACGTGGGTAGGGCATTGGAGAGGTTGTCGAAGTCGAAGACCCATACACAGTTATTCTTGGCACATACACGTACGAGACAAAGAGAAGAGAGAGAGAAAGAGGAGAGTGATAGAGAGAGGGAGACGGCACGGTACCGGTGACGTATGTGAGCTTGAGCACAGCTGTGTATGTGCATTTGTGTGTTTGGCCCACCTGTTTGGGTTTTCAGGAGCAATCACACGCTTTTGCGCTCGCGGCAGTAGAAAGATTTCTTGCTGCTTTCTTTCTTCGCCTCGGGTCTGGGGTTTGCTCACTTTTGGCGGAAGAAGCAAGAACAGTAACAAAGCCAACGGGTTGCGTTTGTTCTTTGTGACTGACTTTGTGGGGGTGTGCAGGAGGGAGAGTGCGGTATGAAGTAGGCGGCAGTCTACAGACCAAGGCACATAACGTAACGAGTCGCTGCACATTGGGCCAGACGGCGGATATTCTGGAACCAAAACCTTTTTTGAATGATACGTTATCATAAAGAATACGCTGGCTAGTTAACTTGACTGTCAATTGTGGTCCACAAATTTGTTCGTGTCCTCTTGTGTCCCTTACCAACTATGTTAATTTAATGTATTAGATTTGTAAAGTACTAATGTGTATTAAATTAACTGCGACCCCTTGCGACCGTTATAATTTTACGGGTATTTTCACTTAGTAGGTTAGTCAGAATTTTTTTTTAGACAAAGCAGCTCTATATTTGGATGTACGAGTATATCAATATACATGCTTTCATTCTTGTGAGCTTGATATTTCAAGCACGGAGAAAAATGATGAAATTAGTAAAAAAAAATAATGATCTTAGACATTTAAATCGAAAATGCTGTAGAAATATAAGAAATTTAAGGAGATGCAATTCAAATGGTTATCAATACTCATCAAATAATTACGTCAATAATAATGCATTACTAAACAAAAACAACTAGTAAAAATTGCACGTTATATGGGCAGTAGGGATGTGCGTGGTCGGATCGGTCTAAAATGTATATCGGTTCTTATAAATATCTATATCAATACATAGGTTCAAGTCTTTAGCCTAATTTTTCGAATTTATGGCAACTTTTCGGCAGCCTGGCCCAATGTGCGCTGGAGCAGCGCCAGCGTCAACGCCAGCGTCGACGTCGACGTCGGTGCGACTACGGTTATAGCAGCCACATCGGGTGCTCGTCCCCCAATCGCAGACCACACGCGCCACGGGCACCATTCGGAACGCACGACGCGTCATCTCTTTAACAAAAACAAACAAAACAAAAGACATATGTACATCCATATGTAACATATGTATGTGTGTGTGTAGTACCCATAAACCTCTCGTATGTGCATCGTATGAGCGTGAGTGCTCCTATCGCTCCTGCCCGACATTATCAATATATCAACTGAATCAACCCACAAAGGAGAGGAGGAACATGAACTGAAGCGAAGCCGAATAAGGCTGTTGTTGTCCCATCGAACCAGCGTGTCACCAACGCTGCCGCTAGCTGAAAAAGGAGAAGAAATAGGTTCACCAACGATCCTCAACGCAATATCCTCCAGCCTCCATCCTCCACTCCAATCCCAATCCCCACCATCCATCCAATGAGCAACACAATGACAACCGCCCACGAGCCGACTATCCACTACCTGGACAGCGTCCTTAATGAGGAAGAAAAGCGGTGCGATTACAGCCATCAGTGGCGCAACTTTACGATCTCTCGGTCCGGCCGCTTCAGGTCAAAGAACAAGAAGCGTGATGTGGTCGATGGCAAGCTCTTTGACGCACACAGTGGCGGTGCGGCGACGAAGGAAAACGAAAAGGTGCGTCCATTTTCCAACTCCCATCTACTATCTCCCGGATCCTCCCTGCTCGAGGCCCGTTGCTTTATCAGCGCAGTCATTCTATAAATATCAGTATATCGCGAGTAGCGACCCATATTGTGAATTGGGTACGGTACGTGATTTCTTTCACTGTCTATCAACTCAGCAGTTCCACCAATTCAATCGTAGTTAGACTTACCTCGTTTTAGGGTTTCTTGGTTCTTTCCTCAGCCCCACTTTTTCCTAGTGAAATGCAAACAATTGTGACTTTTCAGATAAAACTACAACACAACAAAGTCTGTCCGGGAAAACGGAAATGCTCATTAATAAAACGGAAGTTGGCTTTGTTGTGATAAGACCAGACCTCAAGGCAGTAGTCATATTGTATATAGTATAGTGTAGGCATGGTGGGGTCTTATTCATTCAAGTGCATTGGATTGGACATTTTGTAAGATCTGCGCCCGGATACATTCATACACACATGTGTACTCATATAAGTATTTGTTTACCATTCAATGCCACTTGAGGTAGGGCGTCGAGTGAAATTGAAAACACCAGGATGATGCTCACTTGCACTGGCGGTACTCGATCCTGATGTGTGCGAGAATGCTGTGTTTTGTTACTCAAATGTTAATTAGTTTTACTAATTTAAAAATGCATTGATGCGGAATGAACACAAGTCCCTTAAAACGCCAGTATATGAGCCCCAAAGCTTGCCCAAGATTGTGGCCCGTTCATGGTCATTTGGTTTCGCCTATATTAGAAAGGCTACAAAGGAAGTTAACAAAATTAAACTATATTCTTGGTGTACTTTGGTCTTGACAAGATTTATATGTAAAGAACTAAGCCATGATAAGATTAGATTGTAAAGGGAACTTTTTTGCCATTTTACCTGCAACCACGTACTTTGTAGGTGAAATGAATGATTTCTCACCTCCTTTCCATAGTATGCAATGTACTACGGAAAGGCGCATATTAGGGTTTAACCCCACACCCCCCATCAAATATATATGTATGTTTTAGGGCAATTACAGACAAAAGGTCCCATAAATGAGGCTCGTAAAGTGCAATCGAAATACACTGCGCACTGCACTCTCTTTTTATAATCGTTTGTTTGTTTCGCAAAAAAGCTTTTTATCAACAAAATAATGAACCGAAACAGAGTTGAGAAACTGGAATTACTAAACAGAAACAAAAGTCGTGTGTATGCCAAACAAACAAGATCAAAAGTGTTCTGTATGTGTCTTCTTTCTGGTTTTGCTTCTGTTGCTGCCTGTTCTGTTCGTTCTGCCACGCATATTCACCTGAGACCGACCCGACCCCGACACACGAAAAAACACACCTATCTGGAAACACTATACTTTTGATGAGTACAGCGACTCAGATTGGCCAAAATGTCATTTAATACGATTTTGTACACCTTTTTATGTACAATATTCTACTCCATATTACGAGTAAAGGAAATGCATGACAGGGTTGCGCCAAACGTGTTAATTTTCCCAAACACCAGTTCTTCCGTGCGATGGGGACGGGGGCGTGAGTCGCCCTCCAAGGAGGGCGTGTGGAGCTGATTGCGCAACGCAAATGCATTGACCGGTCGATCGATTGCCCACCGACATTGTTGTCGCGTCATTGTCGTCTGTGCATTGAACTTGGGAGAAGCGTTTTATGATGCCGACTTGATATTTATATCGGCGACTGATGAGGACTCTCCGTTGATATATGTATACGTTTACGCCCGTTCCTAAGCCAGATAAAAGATCGTCAATAGAGAGAATATAGTGGTATAGGGGATTAAATGAGAGATCTCTAGCTCAGACAAGCAATCCAAAGATACAATTTATTCCATAATGCAGTAATGGCCTAGGACATTCTAGAGAAATCTGGATCCAAATAGTCTAGATGGTTCGCTTATTCGTGAGATATGAGTAGGAATCCTTGAAATCAAATTATGGGAAAGTTATTTTCCGTTTCTGGAATTATCAGCTAACAAAATCAAGGCTGAGGCATGTCTGTATGTATTTATTTATCAGTATATGGGTATATATGCTATAACACGAGACGGTTGTGGCGTATCTCTGATAATAATGAAGCGCACAAATTATGACGATGGCATTTCCAGTTAAAGAATAGAAAAGCAGGCACCGACATACACCAAATACATACACGTATTTTGCAAGTATTCATCTTTACCTTATCAAAGAACAAAAACCTGTGAAATAACAATAACAAATTTCTGCACATGTATACATACATCCATATATGTATAGATACAAACACTGAAGTGGCTGGCTTCGCACTGCTTTTGTTTTTCTCTTTCTTTCCGGCAACCTGTCAAAAAGGCTTTTTATATAAATGTCCCCAAGTTTGATTAAAATCAGGTGCTAAATCATAACAAGAAATCATATTCCGCCTGCTCGGGCATGTCTTCTGATTAGCTTAGAGTCAGTGCCGTGATTTCTGACCCGGAACGATAAGTGGAATCTAAGGAGATTCAGTTTAATTTAAATTTAATTTATTTTTATTTTATTTTATTTTAGATCTCATCACGCAGTTCTTCTAGCGCCGGGCCCAAGTCTGCAGCCACACCCACAACAGGACCCTTCGGAACCCCAACAGTAACAGGGAGTTCAGCTCGAAGTCAACGCGAAAAAGTGGAGAGCTACAAAAGTTTTTACGAAACGAATTTATAGATAGTGGAAACCTGTTTCACAGCTTGATTTATTCTCTACGCACTTATGTGTATATAACAGTGCATGACGCTTTATTATATAAAATTGGGAGTTTGAGAGAGATAGAGAGAGCAAGAAGGTTTATTGCAGGATTTGTGGACTACAATGCACATTACGCCCAGTAAAGGCTGCGTCTAATTTTTGCGCTGGCTGCTTGATTAGGTTTGTTTTAGCATTTAATAAAGCATGCTGAGGGGTTTATATATGTATATTCATATATTCAACACAATATATACAATATAATATACACGCTTTCTCTCCCTGAACTTGGATCGATTGTACTTATGTTAAATTATTATCTGCTGCTTGCTTAGATTGTAAAAGTATTAAAACGTGATAATTGCACTAAATTATAGAATATCTTTAAGTTTATAGCTACATAATTGTATTGCATGTATGTCAGAAGCAGTACATTTGAGTCTAGCCAATAAAGCACAAGGTTGGATCTAACGAGTCGTTTAATCGTTGCTTTAACACAGTCGGAAGTTTCAAATCATGAGCTAGGGATTCCATTGACATCGCCCCGCTGTTCCGGCGCTCTGATGTAGCTCACATCGCGCACGCAAAACTTCGCTCTGCACATTGGGCACGTGCACTTCTGTTCCAGCCAAATTGCGCGATCCACGTCCGTTTGGCGGGCGGCAAACCACCGGGCCAGGCACTCCACACACCACATTGGGCGGCAATAGCAGTTGGAGCAGGA